TTTTTTTTTTTTTTAACTGGGATGGTTGATGAAGAAAGAGAACCCAAATGGCCAACCAAGTTTCATGAAAGGCATCCTGAGATAATTTCTATGAAGCGAAGGAGATTTTATGCACCTAAAGTAATACCAGGTGCTCAACCACATGTGCTGCTCAGGTGTCCTGAAACCAATTCTAATCTGAAGTTTACACACGACACGCGGGAGACGGTCGGATCCGGAATGAGAAATGGCAGTAGCAGAGAAGCCCGAGAGGCCTAGAAGGCCTGCGTGTGTCGTAAAGCAGTGAGTGACAGCATCCCTTGCAATCCTCGTGATTCACGGGACCGACTGCGGCTTGCCCCTCAGTAAGCTGTGGCACCAGGGACATAAACCGTGGAACTGTCACTCACCCTCTCACTCTGCGAGGCGTGTTTACTGTCGTTAAGACTCTCGAGGTTAGTCATGCTGGGGATCCTCCGGACTATTCTAGCTTTTCTTTCCCCAGCTGACATCTACGGGGCACTCGCTAGGTGCCACGTCCTTCTGAGCAGCTCACGTGTGTCGCAGTGCGAAAGCTTCGGGCAACCCTGTGAGGTGCCTACCGTACTCTCCTCTTGCAGAAGCGGCAACTGAGGCACAGAGAGGCTAATTAACATGCTCAAGGGCGCTCAGCTGTTAAGAGGCAGAACAGAGATCCCAGCCCCTGAAATCTCACTCTACTCTCCAAATCACTAGTTGTGTACCTCGGGCAAGCGTCTCAGCGGTAAACCTCTCAGTGTGTCAGTGAAGAGGGCTGATCATACCCACCTCACAGGATTTCCCACCCCCTCCATTTTGAGGAGTAAGTGAGATCAATGTATGTGAAGGACGTGCTCCAAGTGCTCATATACCCTTTTCATGTTAATCACAGGCTTCTTTGAGTCACGCGGGAAATCACGTGGCTTGCACAAAGCCTCACTGGTAGAGATTGTCATTCCACAATGAAGTCCTGATTGTTGACGGTTAAAGAAAACCTTTCCAGGAAAGAACAGAAAAATCTCATCTTTTTGGGACAAGCCAGGGAAGACAAACATGAGAATGGGTGATAATGAGAGCTCCTGAAAAAAGCGCAGCAAAAAACATCCAATGCCATTTGTGAGTCAAGGACACGAGCGTCACAAATGTGGGAAGGATGGAGACATGTGTGCCACGTCCCGCGTGGATGTGAAGCGGTTTCCGGGGCTCAGGGAAGGGCCCGGCAGGCCAGCCCGTCTTCTGGCCGAAGGGCAGTGAACAAGAGGGTGGAATGAGGCATGGATGCAGTGGAGAGAAAGGAAGACGGGGTTCCAGCCACGATGGCTTCAAGGCTGGGTCTCTAGGCAGGGTCAAGGCAGGGCTCCCACACTGTGGGACGAATGGGGCATCTCTATCTATGGTGCTAGAGACACTGACAGCACGTAGGGCAGAAGTTGCTCCCAAATCTTGTTCCAGAGAATCTCAGCGGCACGACTTTCAACAGGCACCCCACAGCGATCATGTATTCTGTGTTCAGATAACGACGGGAGTTTCTGGTTAAACAAGGTGAATGAGATCTCCTTAGTACAGGAGTTCTCAAAATCTTTGATAGGAGAACGTATGTGGCAAATTCAGAAAAAGGGATCTATTTTGCGGCGTTTCTTGAGCTAATGTGCCGACAGAACCTCATCGGCGGGAGGCACGCAGCGTATTTGGGATGCCCCAGAGCACAGAGAAAAGATGCTCCATGAGGATGGTCTACCCCAGTGTTGGACAGTGGTCCCCAAATTAGTGTACCTCAGAATCTCCTTGAGGGCTAATGAAAACACAGATTCCTGGGCCCTACCTGCCCCCCACCATGAATTTCGGACTGGGGTGAGCCTGAGAATCTGCATTTCTAACAAGTTCCCAGGTGGTCCTGATGCTGCTGGTTAAGGAATCCCATGTTGAGAACTACCTCTTTAATGCATTCCTTAGTGCATGGGGGCTTCCTAAAAGGATATTTCTTCTCAGAAATGACGAACAACAAAGGCAGAAAGGATACATTAGGGAGGGTCCAAAGATGGAAAAAAAAAAAAAAAACTTAAGAAAAATGGCAGATGTCTTCTAATTCTGATGTTGCATTTAGATCCACCTTATTCATTACACTTTGATAGATGGAAAGGCTTTTAATTTCAGATTCCTCAACCTGCCTTGAATTACTGTTACTTAACCAACCGTCTTGGTTCCCTTATTAGACTGCAAGTTTCTCAAGGTCAAGGATTGGGTCTTGGTTAGTTTTTATCTCCTGAGATGCCTCTCACAAGGGTCTGTAGAGGAACAGTTTGCTTTCTGAGCCAAATTCCTTTGTTTTCCTCTCACATTAACTAGAAAATTTCGGGCCAAAACGCAACTCCAAATTCTCTCCCCATTTGGCAAATAAATTTATAAATTCTTTAAGAAAATATTAATTCTGCAAACTCCAAGTGCGAGTCAATGAGCACCACAACAGACCCCCCAGGAGGGAAGTTAAAGAGAGTTCTGAAAGCCCAGCTTCAGGTTTGGTGTTTGCTCAGAGTTAAAGTAGCACAGACACCATGGCCACCCAAGACTCATGGTGAGGAAGGTCTCACCCATACCCACTGGTCAAACTCTGCAGGCAGAGGAAAGAAAGAGGGGTAAGATGGGGTCCCCATGGGGAAGAAGGGAAGGAAAAGGAATCTGAAACAGAAGGAGGAAACCCCTCCTGGTTCAGATGACACATCAAGGTGGAAATCACTTATCAGTTTGTCCTGAGGATACTAAGTGGATTTCCAAATAAATCCACACATTTTCCTCTTTCTTTCCTTCCTTTCCTGGACACTGTCAAATCTGTAGCTACCTTCCTCTCTGCATCTTTATAGAGGTGGCCTAGAATGACTCATTCCTGAAAGGTCAGCCTCTCTTTAGGAAACAGGGTGGCACCACATCCCTTACAGAAAGGGGTCTCCTACGCGCATGTGCGGGCCCACAGTGCAGGCGCCCGCGAGACCATCCCCGCTGATCCAGAGAAATGCTCTAGGTGCCCTGGTTCCCTCTATGAAATCTCAGGGCACATCCTGACACAGTAGCTTTCTAGAGGAGTGCAGAAATAAACCATGGGTCTGTGCACCTAGCATTTGAAAAAGCATCAGGCTGGGGGTCAAGTCAAACAACTTGACGGGCATTTAAACTGAGGTAAAAGGAACAGGAGGCAGAATATATTTAATGACAGGCAACAGCCCCTTCAGATGCACAGAAGCACATCGCAAAAATGATACTTACAAATGAAATGTAACCATTTAACTTTACCACTCTATAATGAATTCCTTACACTACAATAATTTGCTGTAAAAAATAAATACATGTGTACCAGATGTCTGCTCTGCTCTAGGCAGGTCTAAAATGGATTTATAATCAGACAGCCTCATCTTGCTTGTTATGATCAACAAAACCGTCTAATTTTTTTGATTCAAATCAACCGTGGAACTTCTGGATACCGATCTTTTGAAGCCTCAAAGCGAACCTTCTGGTTTCTTACCAGGGAGGCTGGACTTTAAGAAGGGAAAACCGCGCTCTAGGACCTCACTGCGGAAATCGGAAGCTGTAATTCACAGCACGCTGGCTCGTGGCCGGGCTCTGGCTCGGGGGGCCACAGCACACGCTGAGCACGCCTTTACGTTCTGGGCATGTGCCTGCTCCCTTCCTCCAGGTCACATGTCACAGGGCAGTGGAAAGAGATAAACTATCTGGGGGACTCAATGGCTGCCACTCAGGAGACCGATAACCAAGGTGCCCAGTATGATACCCTAACCTGAACGTGTGTGAAACCTGGATGGACAGAAGCCGGGAGAACGCATGTCAAAACAGCACAGTTTTCTGCCCTGGGGACCTTCAGGGCTCCTCTGGGGGCGGGCTGTTGCTCTGTTCTGAAGCAGTCACATGAATGGGCTGTGGTGGTGCTCCCTGACAGGGGCTGAGGGGTGCTCTGGCGTTCTGTGGGAGTTACATCTCTATGCTGTCCGCCTGCATCCAACACCTGCCCTCCTGCTCAGGTACACCCTGCACCCTTACTGGCTCGATTCACTTCTCACTGCTGCTGCGGAGCCCGAGGGCAAGGCTCTCCCTCTACACACTGCTGTTTTCTCTTCCTTCCGGAGACCTTGCCCAGCCTTGCACACGCAAGTGCTCAAGAAGTCGTTTCTCCTGGATTAAGGACCCTAAGTGACTGGCCTACACTTGTTCTTCTTCCTCTTTCCACACTGCCCCCGCGACACCAGGAGGTAACCGGGGCACGTGTGCACACGACCACACAGGAAAGGGAAGGGTTCCTTGAGGATGAATGGGATTTTGACCGGCTGAAGCTGGACAGAACCAAATCCGGGGAGTCCTAACCTGTTCCAACTTGCTGGAAATACCTGGTTCTGGGTTTCGGTGGTGCTGGTATCCCCGGGGCTCCAGGTGGACTGGCCCTGTGGCCCCAGCATAGCTGCCCAGTGGTTCTAGGTGCTGGTGGTGCTTACTGGCACCAGAAGTGTCCCTGGAGCCCTAGGTCTGTCCACGATGCCAGGTGGCGCCGGCATCATGGTGGAGATTCTAGAGCTCGGCATTTCCATTGGGATCAAACCAGTTCTAGCTGGCTCAAAGTGGTTGTGAATGGTTTCAACCAGATCAAAGTCGCTCTTGCTGGATCAAAACAGGCTTGCTCCTTTTAAATCTTGATAAGGCAGATGCCAATCGGTCATGACTGGCTCAAGCCTGTTTAAACACTGGGCTAGCTACCTCGTTATGGTTAGATCTGATCCAACGGCTCCCTGCGCCTGGAGCAAACCAGTTCAATGTAGCCTGAGCAGGGTCAGCTGGCTCAAAAGCAGGAGGCTGGGTCTGAACCACGCCTGTAACACCAAGTGTTCAAGTCACTGACTTGGACTGACAGGGAGAAAGCTCTCGTGCTGGAGAGGTGATGCTCGAAATGACATCGTTCCTCATGCTACCAGCTTTCCAAAGTTCATGATCATATGTGTTCTTTCTTACGGCTGGCCACTGAGAACACCCCAAGTATACAGCATTTACCCAAAAGGACTCAGGCACATCTTTTTTCCGTTGGCAGGTACACCATCCCAATCCGCTCTCCCCTACACTTGGGACTAGATATGCATGAGGTACGGGGGAGACCACCGTGGACGGCTCAGGCCGCCGCACCCACCCCCGGCACCCCCTTACCTTGATCCTGCTCACGGCTTCCTGGGCCTGCATCATGCGCACGTTTTTGGAGGGAGTTTTGTCGGAGAGCAGCTGGGTGGAGCCAAGGTAATTGGCAGCAAAAATGATCCCATCGATCAAGTCTTCGGGGTCACAGGGTCCGGGAACTGGAACACACAGAACCGCAGGGGTGAGTGAAGCCACCCGGGGGTGGGCCCCACAAATCGCTGACCGCACAAGCACCCTCCCTGACCGCTCAGTGCCAGCACAGGTGGCCCCCGCGGTGGAGACCCTGGGCGGGTGCATCACCCTGCCAGTCCAAGGCACCTCTCCGGGTCTGCCTTCACTCACACCTTGTTTTCAAAGGGAAGAAAGAATTTCTTCTTCATCCACTTTGCCCAGGCCATTTACTGGGAGAAATGATGTGTTTATTTAAATATGAAACATACAACTCAGTGACAAAAGATGTTGTTTTTCCTGTTAGACTGGGAGCCCTTTGGGGACAAAAGACCATGTCATGTTCGTCTTTGGCTCGCGTGTCTCATCAGTGCCTGTCACCCAGGGGGCATCAAATAAATGTTTGCCAGACAAATGGTTAGGTGAGCAGGAGGCTGCTTTATTAGAAAACCTCATTTTAAAGCGCCACGTTCGCACCTCTCCCTTCCACTTTATGCATAATGGGGAAAACAAATCTTACCAATCAGAAAAATGGGCATTTGTTTGAGAAGGTCTGGATCCCTAGAATGGCCTCTGACCCCAGCTCTGTGAGGCAGATGACATTACCCTGAGTCCCCTGATGTCAACCTTGCTGACTTACAGGCTGTGGTGTCCCTGGCTTGCATCCACACACAGATCAATTCCGAGGAAAAGCAGAATTTTCTGTTCTCACTGACCAGCCTTTTAAATTAAACCTTACTTTTAACATATTTAAAATGGGGGCATCTGATTCTAACCATCATCACCTGCAAACCCTACTTGAGATTCAAACATGTCTGGGACTAATAAATGACTTGAGAACAGACGCACGAAGAAAGGCATTTTAATTCTGCAGTGAAAAACATATGTATTTTCTTTGGCTTGAATGCCATATTTGGGGAGATTAAAATATACATTTTTAACCTACTGTTAAAACCCCAGGCTCTTAAATTAGATAACTGGCAAAGGAAACAATTTGCTTTTTCCTTTTGGAAAGCTAATCTGAAATGATTTTTATTTTTATCCCTCAACATCGAGCTCATCTTGAGCTTAACCAGCTGCTTCCCATGGATAAGCTACTTATCAGAGTTCAGTCTTAAAACAATCTTATCGTTTTCCTAAAGCCAAGGTGGTGGCTGACACAAAGAAATTAACAGCATTTTAGGAAAGGCCTTCACCAAGCATCTGCGTAGTCAATAAATAAGGAGACGTGTTGTTTGCCATATTCTCCATCTTTCCAAGAAAGGCTTCTGGCGAGTGATACTCAGCCAAACCGGCCTCAACTACGTGCCAGTGGTTCACCTTCTCTCCAAGGTCACAGACGTGCCGTGCTCAAACTTTCATAGGGGTGAGAAGGATTCAGGGTATTGGCCACATACAGTTTTAGTTGTCCAGCCGGGAAGCACTACCCTAACTAAAATAATACATGGACGGGTTTGGAACCTACATTACACTTTGTAAAAAAGTAAAAGATTATCAGTCTCCTATCATAAATTCCCGTGCGGGGTTTACAATGTTAAACATAATCATGTTTGCCCAAACAGGCATTGAGAAAAAAGATCTCATCTGGGATAGTAACTTTTAAAAACCTTCCATTTATTTTGTGAAAATAATGAATGTTAAAAGAAAGATAAAGAATTAACCACGTACTTCTCTACGGGCCTTCCAGGATTCTATGTTCATCTCTGAGTTAGCGCTATTCCCCGAAGAGGGTCTCTCGTCAACCATGGTGACTGTGGATATGCGGGTAGGTTTAAAAGCAATCCAAACAATACTTAAATGACTACATAAATGCCGACCAGTCAAGAGACAGTTACACTGGACCTAAATAAATTATGCATTTGAGATATGATCTAAGGCCACTGATCCTCCAGGGATTTTGAGGATAATCAAATGTCACTGTTGCTAGATCATACCCTGGGAAAAAGCCGTTATGTTCGTAATTTCATTTTAGAATTTTTTTTTTAAAAGTTAAAAAAAATTCACATTATACTGGTCCTAAGTCAAAGAACTGCAGGTTTCGTTTCGGCCTTCTGGAACGTGTTTGTCCTTTCAGGGAGGCCTCCGTGTTGCTCACACGTTATGTCCTCACGCCTTCGTGAATGCTGAGTCTGGGGGAGCGTCGCTGAAGAAAAATGGAATTTCCAAACTTTCAAAAACTCCCCGAGGAATACTCATGGAATTCTTGGGCCTCACAAAAAATGGCACGAATAATTCACAGGTTACTCAAGAAAGAAACCTGAGTGAAACAAACCTATGAGCTTGACCGAGGCTGCAGGACTGCAGGGTCATAAAGGTCTAAGAATCCTGGTAATTCATTCTCACACTGACTATTCATTCATGGGATCCAAGGGCCAGACAGAGCTTCACGGTGGTGTTCTGGGTGGTTTCTAGTCCCCAGAAAATCCTTTTTCAAGAAAACGTCAATCTACCCTACCTGAAAAACTAACCTCCATCCTCTCTGGTAGAGGGTCGTGGCACCTCTAGCTAATGAGCACCTTTGTGTGGATGAGGAATAGGCACTCCGTTTGTGGGGCCTGACCTCAAGCTGAGCTGCCCCGCGTGGGCCAAGTTCTGACCCCACTAGGCCTCCTGAACAGGTGCCCTTGAGCAGTGAATCACCTGCACAACCATATGTGGCCACCCTACACAGAATACCATTTGTATTCTGAGCTGTGGAATCAGACTGCCAGCTCACAGCCTGGCTCTGAAACTTGCTAACTGTGTGATTTTGGGAAAGGCACTCACCTCGGCTTGAGTAAAAATGCCTCAGTTCTCTCCTGTGTAACATGGGGGTGTGAAGTCCACTTCACAAGATAGATACGAGGATTCAATAAGTTATTACATGAAGACCGTGTATCTGGCACAGAGTACAAGCTTGATAAAAGTTACTACACTTAACTCATCCAAGCAAGAGATGAGAATTATTGGGAAGGTCT